ACGTGGGCGTTTGCGCCTTCGCCCATGACCGGAGCAGCGGCGTCTGCGCCCGCGTCTCCCGCTTGCGCTTCTTCCGGCGGCGGCACGCCAGCGACGGCACCGGCCGCAGCAACATACTGTGCAGGGACCGCCTCGGAGTCCCCCGCCGCCGTGGCCTCCACTTCGGCCGTGGGCTCCGCGCCGTCTGCAGCGGCAGCGGCGGCAGCAGCAGAGGCAGCAGAAGGCGTGTTGGCCGGAGAGCGGGGGGCGAAGAAGCGGCTCATGCCCATGCCCGCGACAACCTTGCCCATGAACCCGGTGGCCGCGGGAGACGGGGATGCAGCAGCCTCGCCTTCCTTCTCGGCGTCTCCCGCTGCCGCTGCCGTTATCGCTGCCGCCACCACCTCCGCGGGGAGGTCGGCGGGGGAGCCGAGATCGACGGGTTCAGCGGCGCCGGTGCCCGAGTCCGGGGCGCGGCTGGCCTCCAACCCCTGCACCGCTTGCCGGCGACGATCCTGCTGCTCCACCGCGATGGCGTGCTCGAGGTCCGGGTGGAGGGGCGTCTTGAACGACGAGCCGCGAAGCACGGACGCCGCGCGGGCCGCCTCCGAATCTTCCACACGCATCTGGCGCTCCTCTTCCGTGAGGTCCCTCTGGCTTAGCTCATCGGCCGAGCTGCTGTTGGACGCCGCCCGAGACCTCGCCACCCTCGACGCCGGGTAGTCGACAGACTGGATGCGGCTGCTGCTGTTGGACGAGGACCGGCCGGACGGGGGCAGGCCAGGGACGGCCGTGCTCGTGCTCGTGGCGGTGACCACCGCAGCGGGGCCGTCGATGCTGCCGGTGCCGACCTCGGCCACCGGCGCCGGTGCCGACGCCGGTGCCGATGCCCGTGCCGACGCCGCGAGCTCGGCCTCGTAGGCCTCCGCCTCCGCCTTGGCCTCGAGGGCGGCGAGGGTGCTCGTCGACTGCACCGACGCGGACTCGTCCTCCGTTCGGTACGAGACCGCGCTCTGCGCCCTGCCACCGCCGCCGCCCCCGACCGCGCTGCCGCTCCCGATCCTCCCGTCCTCGTCTTGGCTGTCCTCGCCGCCCAGCGCCGCTGCCGCGCTCCCCAGGGTCCGCCCGCTGGGCCCGCTGATCAGCGGGGCGGGACTCTCCCCCTCCTCCGCTTCCTCGGTCGTCTCGAGGAGCCCGGAGTCCCCCGGCGTGACCGTCTTCCTGGAAGCGCCCCACGACGCCTCGCTGCTCTTCCGGCTGCTCTCCAGGCTGGCGGCGGAGTCTCCAATGTAACCGCCGGGCACCCGGCCGTCGCCGCTGCCGGAGGCGGCAGGGTTGAAAGAGTCCGAGGTGACCAGGGGGTTCATGCTGATGGCCGAGGTGGACGTGTCGTGCTCGCGGCGGCTCGGGTCGACGCCGGCGGCGCGGTCAGCCTCCGCGGATTGTACGGCGGTCGCCTGTACACGTGTGCGACAGAAGAAAATCAGGCAGGGGGGTGGGCGGCGAGAGCGGAATCGTACAAGAGGGGGCGGGTTGGCGGTTTGTCACTTTTTTCCTCCACATCTGACGCCAACACGTACTTGGCTTGGAAGAGGTGGGCACGCGAGTTTGCGAGGGGCTCGTGACGCCCACTGCTATGGGTAGCGAACGTGTAGGGTGAAGTGAAGGGAGGTGGGTCGCGGGTCGAAGCGCCCTACTGTTGACACACACCACATACACACACACACAACTCTTCCGGCACTTCGGAAGCAGGACACTTTCCAACTCCTGCGTCCCCCCTGTCTGTAGGATCCTTTCAAAAGCAAAGCGTGTTTGGAGTTCTTATCCTGCTACAAGGCTGACGCCCTTTCACTCGTCAGCCGGCTAGTGCAGTCGACGCTAAGTCCAAAACACACACACACAAACACACATCATCAAGCACGTACCTCGTCTCCTTGCTGAGAAGCTACCGTGCTCGCGCCCCCCCGAGAGTTACTTGTGTAGGTGACCCCGGTCATGCCCACGCCACTTTCCATCGCCTGGGTTTTGGAAGGCAACACCGGTCAAGAAACAGTCAAAATACGCTACACCAGTAGTACCAGAACACAAGCAAATAACAAAAAAAACACACACACACAAACAGCCAAGGGCCATGGACAACACGAGCAGAGCAACCACACCGGATAAGGCACGAGCCATCCACTTGCAAAAAAAGAAGCGAGCTTTTCGACACGGGGATGGGGGGTGGGGTGGGGTGGGGTGGGGTGGGGG